GCTGAGGTCCTTCCACGCTAAGTCTCCGATTCCACTCTGGAGTCGTCCGAATCCGCCTGTTCTAACAATCTTGATCGTTTCAAAGCTGAATGTGGAATCTACTTCCACGTCCACACATCCGAGTTCCCCACCACCCTCTCCCAGATTCTCTTTGTGTTGTCCTACATGAAGGGAGGGCCGGCAGGAGCATGGGCAACACAGCGCACAATCTCGCTGCTGACGGCAGGGTCCCCAGCACTCACCATGGATGAGTTCAACATGGAACTCGATGACATGTTCCAGGACCCAAATCGGGAAGCCACCGCCCAGCAGAAGCTGGCAGCTATCCATCAGGGGAGCGACTCCATGGACAAGGTTATCCAGGAGTTCGAGATATTAGGGCCTGCCTTGAGACTGGGTGACATAGGGCTGGTTGACCACTTCAAGCAAGCAATCAACACCCAGCTCTGCAAGAGCATTTACCGTCTCCACCCTATGCCCACCACCTGGGCTGAATGGAAATGCGAGGCCACCCTCCTCGACAACCAATGGCGACACCTCCAAGCCACCCAGCCATGAGCACCCCCACCTAGACCCCCACTCCTACCAACCTGGCCCCCTCCAGCCACGACCTCCCCCTACACATGGCCCACACCCACCACCTCACGACCTGTGCCCGCACCTGCACCCCCCTGCAACCCATCCCATGTCTGGAACAGGTCCACAACCAATGGACCTCGACCGCTCGAGGACTGACCAGAGGCGGAAGGGGTTGTGTTACAACTGCAACACCCTGGGCCATGTCGCACGAGAATGCCCACACCCCAAGGTCCACCAAGTCCGACACCTGCATCCAGAGGACCTACAAGCTTTGATGGAAGGGCTGAAGAGGCAATTGGGTGAGGGATCAGAAGCAGAAGAGGGAGAGACAGGGCCAAACCCCCAAGAGGAGGATTTTCAGGATGAGGGATGCGTCCCAGCTGCCTGCAAAAGATAACCCGTGTAAATACCGCAATGTGCATGAGTCAGCTCCACTGCAGAAATTCCATCGAGTTATCGCAAAGAAAAAGAGGAAAAGTGCATCCTCCACCCACATAAGTGAGAAACGCCCAGAGTTGACACCTGAAGTAGCAGTGTCTCCACCCACCATTTATGTCCTCTCCAAACAGTCCCCCAGATCACTCAACCTCATGGTGATGCTAACTGCCCTGACCTCCCTCGCCCCCGTATCAGTGTCAGCCCTCCTCGGCTCAGGGGCCACCAGGAACTTTGTGAGCCCTGAGTTTGTCCAGAAGCACAAACTCGAGACCACCCCACTCCCACAGCCCATACCCGTCCACAATGTCGATGGCACCCCAAACGAGAATGGGGCCATAACCAAGGAACTGGAAGCCCTCCTGATGTTCAGACAACATACAGAATGGGCCTGTTTTGCAGTCGCAAACCTGGGATGCCAATCCCTCATCATAGGGCACTTGTGGTTGCTGCATCACAACCCAGAGGTGGACTGGGCATGACAGAAGGTCGTCATGTCCTGCTGCCCATCCTCCTGCAGGCGCCATGAGTGGGAGACGACCGAGACCTCACGGTAGAGCCTGGGGATGGGATCTATGCTGCGATCATTCCCCCAGGGTGGGGGCACGACCTGAGAGCAACCACAATGCCCTCTCAGCAGATGGCCCAGGAGGCCCACGACCCAGGGGCAGAGCCCATGCCGTTTGAGATGTTGGTACCAGAGCACTACCAGGACTTCCGAGACGTGTTCTCTAGGAAGCCTTTGATCAGCTACCCCCCGAAAGCCCTGGGACCACGCCATAGACCTAGTGCCAGACGTGAAGCTACCTAGGGGGAAGACCTTCCCTCTCTCACAACCCGAGCAGAAAGAACTGGACGAGTTCTTATGGGAGAACCTGCAGAACAGGCATATACGCCCATCCAAATCCCCGATGGGGGCACCAGTCTCCTTTGTCAAGAAGAAGGATGGGTCGTTACACCTAGTCCAAGACTATTGGAAGCCGAATGAGATCACGGTCAAGAACTCATGTCCGCTCCCCCTCATCTCAGACGTTCTCACCCACCTCCACAACGCCAAGTACTTCTCGGCCCTGGACCTACATTGGGGGTTCAACAACATCCAGATCAAGGATGGGGATGAGTGGAAGGCAGCGTTTGCAACCAACCAGGGGTTGTTCGAACCTATGGTGATGTTTTTCGGCCTGTGCAACTCCCCTGCAACCTTCCAGACCATGATGAATGACATCCTTCAGGATTTCATCAACCGGGAGGTCGTCATCTGCTACATGGATGACATCCTCATCTTCACCACAACCCTGGAGGAAACTCTTCCTGAAGCCCAAGAAATGCAAGTTCAAGTGGACATGGATCGAGTACTTGGGGCTTGTCATCTCTGAGGGTAACATGGCGATGGACCCTGTAAAGGTCCGTGGAGTTCTTGACTGGCCGGTCCCAACCAAAGTGAAGGAGGTGCAGTCCTTCCTAGGGTTCGTGAACTTCTATCGCCGGTAGGACTTTTTGGAGAAAGCATGCCCTCTCCATAAGTTGACCCAGAAGACTCAGGCCTGGAATTGGGGCCCGGACGAGGACAGTGCCTTCCTGGCCCTTAAAGAAGCCGTCACCACTGCACCCGTCCTCTCCTTCCCTTCAGACTCCAGCTGCTTCAGGCTTGAATGCGACGCTTTGAACTTCACAACTGGTGCAGTCCTCTCCCAGCTCCAATCGGATGGGGAGTTCCACCCAGTAGCATTCATGTCCAAGAGTTTCATGGATGTAGAATGCAACTACAAGGAGTACGACAAGGAGATGCTTGCGATCATCTGAGCCCTCAAAGAGTGGCAGCACTTCCTAGAAGGTGCCAGGGAGAAGGTTGAGATCTACACCGATCACCGCAACCTGAGCTATTTCCGGATGGCCCAGAGGCTGAATCGACGCTGTAACCAGACACAAGAGCTGCCCAGGCAAGAGAGTAGGGACCTGGGGGTAGAGTCTGAATCGGGTCGGAAGGAGGGAGAAAGGAAGGATGGTGGCAACAGTGCCAATACTGTGCCGTGGTCCGGGTGCTACTGACAACAATCAATAAAATCTCACAAAATAAGTACTCACTCCTGGTCACTCTGGACTATCGTCAGGAGTCAGAGATACTGTATCAATGTACTGGTCGCACTCTGGCATCACTAGACTGGTCAAATAAACTTCTTGGTGGGATGTCCCATCTCATGGGGGAGTCCTCTGTACCATACATGAAAATATGCGCTATAAGTGAGGAATTGCAGGGCAAAGGGGAAGAATAGAAATACGCCTCTATGGCGACACAGAATAGCAAAGAAAGTGATGGAAAGGAAATACAAATAAAAGCAATGAAAACAATATCGGAAACAATAAAATGAATGATGGAAATAGTATCCCTCCTAATCGAGCATCCAACAACCTTCTCCCGCCATCCGAATGGACTCTCCTCGCTCGTAGCTTTCCAACAGTACTAATTTCATCCAAATCCATCCAGTGGTTCTTGAGATATGCCTGGAATTGGGTGGCTGCTACATTGACAGGCATGGGAATCTTGACTGTAGGGCTGGAAATGCTTCGGAAAAATTGGGAAAAATAGAAAAATGGTAGAAATGGTATTTGGGACCATGTATGAAGTGCCTTGGGTATGGGGTGTTCATCAGGGTGTCAGAATCGCAATTTCTGGGCTTGTTTGTATGGTAGCGGAGATTCCCACCTACAATGCCAAGCCCGATGGACCCTTTTCCTCTCCCACTTCCATTTCACCCTCATCCACCATCCTGGAAAGCTCATGGGGAAGCCGGACACACTCTCCCATTGTGCTGACCACCCGAAGGGGAGGGACAACAACGAGGGGCTGACCCTTCTCCAACCTGCCTGGTTCGAAGCTCACGCGACAGAGGCAGTCTTGGTGGAAGGTGAAGAGGCAGGTATTCTAGGGAGGATACGTGAGGCGAAGGACCATGACAAGAGGGTAGTAAAGGCCATGTGAGAGCTGGGAGAAGGGACGTTAAGGTTGGATGAATGGGAGAAGCAAGGTGACCTGATCCTGTACCGGGGAAGGGTGTACGTCCCAAAAGACCCCCAACTCTGCCATGATCTGGTACGGCTACACCACGACTCACAGGCGACAGGGCACCCAGGGCAATGGAAAACCCTGGAACTTGTCTCCCATGACTACTGGTGGCCCCAGATGGCAGAGTACGTCGGGTGATACGTATGCGGGTGTGACACCTGCAATCACGTTTGGTCAGACCTGACTTGTAGTGAGATCCTTATCCCCCCCTCTTTCCTGTCACAAGTCTAGTTGGATAGACCCGTTACAAATCTGGTGGTCCTTACAGGGGGGATAATCCACTTTGTCAGGTTTTCAATCACGCAAGTCACATCCTTCATTTGTTTGGAAACACCCTTGTTTTATTTGGATATCGACTATCTACACCGTTTGTTACCCTAAGAAGAGGAAGAAGTACAAGAAAGGATCTACAAGTCTACGGATCCACATATTCCACCCACACCTGCAAGACTTTGCAAGTTTCACATTTGTTTCTCCTGGCGGACCTCAAGATGAGGCACAGGGGATCATGTTATTGTTAAAGTTGTTCACTCCTGGCGGATCTCACGAAGAGACACAGGAGTCTGTGTTTGTTATCAAGTTTTAGCGACGTGCTGCCCTTAAGCAAGTTTATCACAATTGTCCCTCATGGCGGATCTCATGACGAGGTACAGGGGGTTGGGTTTATTGCTCAAGTGGTTAACTCCTGGTGGATCTCACGAAGAGAGCACAGGAGCCGGCATTAGTTTCTCTGATTACCAAGTTTTGCAACGTGTTTTGGCAACGTGTTACCCCGTTTACCTCCATTTGACCCTCATTTTACGATTCCTCTCCTTGCCGGACGACAAGCGGCATAGAGAATCATCCAAGTATCACCAGAACAGGTCCCAAGCGACCCACACAATCATTTGCAAGTTTCACCTTTTTGTTTTAACCTTTCAAGATGGCCATAGGTCCCACTGTTGCAGCGCCGATATTTTACACACCCATGCCGATGCCCCGTAGCCCAGACGTGCCCCGATTCAGAGGCAGGCAGATCATCGAGTTCCTTAGCAAATACGAGTCACTGGCTGACGCGGCACTTTTCACGGAAGCTCAGAAATGCGATTTTCTGACCACTTACTGCACTGAGAAGGAAGTGAGGTTCATTTCCATGCTGGATGGTTTCGAAAACCCAAATTGGGTGTTGCTCAAGAAAGACCTGCTGGACTTTTATGGCGTTGACGAAGAACCCTTATTTTGCCTCAAGGATCTCCACAAGTTCGTAGAAAAAGGTCGCAAGATGAAGACCTTTGATCACCTTGACCGATATTTGTGCAAGTTCGAAGCCATTTCCAAGTCCTTAGAGGCACAGGGTGCCCTCACTGTCATTGACCGCGATGATTTGTTTTACCGTGGATTTCCGTCAAAGTTCAGACGGGAGCTCAAGTACGAACTCAGGGCTCAAGGTCTTTGGTCAGACTTGACCCGACCACCGCGCATGAATGATGTTGTAGCCGTTGCACAGGAGCTGCTCCGAGGCGACCTATACGATGTTGACTTCACTGTGAAGTCCGAGCGACGCCCATGTTCCAGAAAGGACAGTGACGATGAGCCAGTCGATGACTTGGCGGACCGTGGAAGTGACAGCGCCAGCTTGTGTCAGATGGCAGATTCCACGGATTTGGAGTTAGTGGCCAAACGATATGAAGCCCAGCACCTAGAGGGCTCAGTTCCCCATGAGGAAGCCTTGCCACCACGTAGGCATATCCCAGCGCTCCAAGAATGGGTGGATGACGAAAGCCGCAAGACGATGTTGATGCATGTTGCATATCCCAGTTGCGATGTCCCCGAGTCCAAGTTGTGCGAAGTCCCGGCAGTTCCCTTGGTGCTAGTTGGAGTCGAAGTTGAAGTTGAAGTCAGAAGCGCAGCGCTTCCAACTGAATTGAGTCATGTTTGCACCGAGCCGATCGTTGTACCCACCCATTACGAGTCTGGATCAGGGTTCAGCACTAAGAATCTAGAAGCTAGCGATTGTGACCAACTAGGGAGCCGTGTCGAAGTACCGGAGCTAGAAGCGAAAGAGCTTAGGCCTATCGGCCTTGAACGCATCTCAGATCCACCAGTTTGCGAAGTCACCTTAGCTCCTCAGACCTCAGATTGGGCTGAGACCGCTCATACGTGCTCAAGCAAAGCCAGACTGCCTCAGCCAACAGAGGTGATAGCGCGCGCTGACAAGAAAGAGCCGAATGACTTAAGTGCGACGACTTTAAACTCACGACCTTTTTGGCCCGCTCCCGGTCTTGGAATTTACTCAGGATCTGGAATGGCGACGATCCGATATGACTCCCAGCGATCCTATGGCGGCCAGTGAGCCTCGATATGGTCCAGATGCCCTTGTGACGAAGATCGAGCGTGAAGTGTTGCTCACATTCAAGAATGCGACCAAATCTCATCCTGCTTCAGAGTTTGAGTAGTCATGCATGATGCGAATGGACACTCGCTTCCAGACGATTGTTGCCGTCCATCGTACGAGCCAATGGAGTGTGTTCCGGCGCCTGATCACGGCCAGAGCCCCACGCATCGCAGAATAAGCGCCAAGTTAGCCAAGGTGGCCAAGATGTTCCAGTTTGACCCCGGGATCGAGTCCAACCCATCCAGAACCGTCAGAGAGGCACCCATCGATGCCCACCGGTTAGTTTCGAGTCACATTGCACATCATTCTGAGGATAGCCAGAGTTCTGAGCTGCGAAAACTGCACGGACATTTCGAGATTGAGCAAAATCATGCACTGAGGAAAACCCGCGATGAGAGGCACATCAGTTCAGTGCTGTCCAGTACAACAGCATCCCAGGCAGTCGACCCGACTGTAGCAGTCGTCGATTTTGAGCCTCCAAATGGTCTAGCGTGCACAGAGACCGGAGCGATGCAAGAACAGGAAGCTGAGCTAAACTTTGAGTTTAAGGCCGAGCCTGTCCCAGAACGAGTGACAGCGTTACCGAAAATCGAGTCGAATGGGCCAGCCAGCGTCTTAGAGTTGCCCTGCATGCGCGATAACATTGAGTTCGGCGATTTGAGCAGAGAAGAAGTTGGAATTTCGGAGGTTGAGCATCGAGTCCCACTACGCTATGGTGATGAGTTCCCCCATGGGTTAGCCGGGACTGTTCACAATGAAGGAGTGCATAGCTGTGACGAGTCTGAAGTGCCTTACTACGACACAGAGTACTTCAGGGATGTGTTCAAAATCACTGACTCAACGGAAGGTTTCACTTGGGATTCTGGATATGAATCCGACGACACCGCAGTGGATGCTGATGTGCCTCAGGCTGAGCGCGTCAGACTCATTATCTTACACGAAGCCGTTCCCACCTTTGTGCCACACGAAAAACAAGGTCATGATTTGATTCATCAACATCCTATCATACATCGTGGTTACATTATGACAAATGCGAAATGTGCCGCCAGCAATGATCCCAGCAAGAAAGCGCTGGAGCATGCTTGTTCCTCTGATGCGATTGACGATGGATATGAACGCCCACCCGAGAAAGACCCAGACAAGGTCTCAGGCACGAATCAGAGTGCAGGGGCCCGAGCATGCGAGTCCGAATTGACTCAAGTCGCCCATTACATGTCAGTCGCCGAGTTCCAGGTTGACCCATGCCCGCTAGAAATGCTACAGCGCTCTCCCATCGTTCAAGGAGACACTGGAGTCGTCAGACAGCCCACCCCACACCTAGCATCTGAGTCGAGCAAGCAACGCGTTGAGTCTCCCGGCCTTGAGTCCTGCAAAGTCCTCAGTGACATCAAATACATTCCGAGGTCCAACTTGAGCAAGCAAGACGTCGAGCCTAAAGAGCTTAGGCCTCACGGCCTTGATCCAAGCGTGATTACAGACTATGTTGAATACATGGTGGCTTTGAAGGTCGGGGACGCGAGTGCAGACCACGCATTGGAGTTTTTCCGCTAGTCAGAGGATCCTCATCCAGGAAGACCGAACATGTATATTGTGATTCCGCGGGTACGAGGGCATGAGGTCAAAGAGCTGAGGCCTCCTGGCCTTAGCGACGAGCTCATTAGCGAAGTTCCAGATGAGGGAGCTGTTGAGGCCACGCGAGTTCCGGCCTTGGATCGTGAGATTACCGTGAACGACAAGCGTCCAACTCGAACCTGGGAGTCCGGGGTCGAGTCGGGAGTCGTTTGCATGTCGAGTACGGAGTTTTGTGCCGAAGTGAGTGAAATCAGTGACGGCCCACACGAGTCAGCGGTGGGAGTGAAAACAAGACATACTGTCGTTCCTAATCCTCCTATACGACCGTTGGTTCTCCAAGAAGTGACAGATGCCTCAGAAAGCAGAGATCGAGGTGATGCGAAGTTGCTGGATGTCGGATTTGGACTCGGAGACTTGGCGAGCGCGACCGTACCTGCGCCTATAAATTCAGCTGGCGAGGCAATGATGCCAGATGAAGTCCAGGATAGTCAGAACAGATCGGATCGAGACATCAGCAGCCAAGTTGGCGCCCTGGAACAGGTTTTGTGGCCTGGAATGGTTGACAAAGATCGCAGGCGTGTTTTAGACAAGATGCCATCATCGAGCCGAGAGGTCACAGATAAAGAGTCCAGGCCTCCCTATCGCTCGAGCGCATGTATGAGCCACTCCAAGCCTCGGCTGGGCTTAGAACCGAAGTGTCGGTGCCACACGTCCGAAGTGCTGAGACTTACTTCAGCAGCGCTGCTGGATGAGCTTCATATCGCGGCTATTGATGTAGGTAAACATGCGTCCAGAGTGTGGAGGAAGAAGCCTCCCTGATGATGTTAGGTTGATGCAAATTCGGCCCCAATCACGCATACCATCGAGTTCTTTATTCATGCAATATCCGTTATATATTCTCATCAAAGTCCCCAGGATTTGTGGATTGAGCACGATGCCGCTGGTTTCATTTAGGATATCGTGAGGGACCACGATTAAGAGCTAGGCCTGTATGTAACGGGGATTTGCCGGTGTACCATAAACAAGCCAAATCCCGCGATTCCACCATGCTCAACAAACTCCCCACATCCTAGACACATAGCACACACTCTCACACACTTCTCATACACACTCCTTATTTTTCCTTATTTTTCTGATTCCATTTCTGGTGTCTAGAGCCCGATGTTTCCATTTCCTTATTGTCATGTGATATTCTTTCCTTATTTGTTTATCGGACTCTTCCGTGACCAGCTGTATAGTTAGCTAGACAGTGAGGAGTAGCAGAATCCACTCCCAGTTAACAAACAAACCTGTGCATGCGACCACTCCAACCCTCCCCCTCTCTTCTGTCTCGAGTCTAGTGGTGATAGACCCATTACAGCATCAAGTCCTTCCCCTCATGAAAGGTCAGGAAACTTACCCCAAATAAGGTCCCCACCCATCGTTGGCAGGTCATCTCAGTGGATATGATAGGGGAGCTCCCAGAGTCTAGGGGATACAATGCCATCCTGGTTGTAGTGGACCGGCTGTCCAAATGCATCCACACAGTCCCCACCGTGATGACTGTGGATTCAGAGGGTATCGCATGACTCTTCTTGGAGCATGTCTGGAGACACCATGGGCTCCCAGAGGAAATCCTCAGCGACAGGGGGAGTGCCTTTGTCTCCTGCTTCTCGAAAGAGCTCGCAGACCTCCTAGGCATCAAGTTGACCCCTTCAACACCCTACCACCCCCAGACGGATGGACAGACAGAGCGGGTCAACCAGGAGATTGAGGCCTACCTCCGGGTGTTCGTCAACCACCATCAGGACAACTGGGCAGACTGGCTCCTGCTAGCAGAATTTTCCTACAACCTCCACTCACCGAACCCCCTTTGAACTTGACACCGGCCAACATCCCAGGATGGGGACAGAACCCACATGCACATCCAAGGTGGAAGGTGCTGATGCATTCTTGTCAAGGATGATGAAAATGCAGGAGGAGGCAAAGGCAGTGCTAGAGCATGCAGTGGACGAGATGGTGCGTTACTACGACCGAGACTGCGACCCAGCCCCAAAGTATCGAGAGGGCGACCAAGTCTGGCTCAATGCCCAAAACTACATGACCAACCATCTGACTAAAAAACTGGACCACAAGTGGCTTGGCCCCTTTAATAAAGTCATCTCCCCAGCCACCATCAAGCTCCAGCTCACCACTTGACAGAAGGGAATCCACCCAGTTGTGTCCATGACAAACGTCAGGCCACACCTCCCAGATGGTATCGCAGAGAGACCCACTGACCCACGCTGAAGGAGAGAACGAAGGAAGGTCAGTTGGGAGGTTCAAACGAGACCACCACCAAGCTGTTCCCTGGTTCTTTAGTTAGGATGGGGAAGTGTACTAGTATTATTTGTTGTAAATATAGTACCAATCCGAGTGTTTTGGCTAATTCTATTTTTATGGGTTAGTCTAAAATTTCTGGGAATTGACTTACAGATAAACCGAGCCCTGCGGAGCTGTTCCTTTATTGAAATTTCTTAATTTGTCTAGGTGTAATTCTGTGTAGCGTTGTTTAATTTGGAATTTAACTTGAATTAAATCTTCTACTTGGTGAAGTTTCAAAGATTCAGTTAATGGATTTGGATTGTGTCTGGAGTGTCCCTTGAGTTTGTTTTATTTTTGTCTTATTTTATTGCTTGTTTTAATCAGTAGCAAAATAACTGTTTTGTGTTTACACTTTGAAATCTGGAGTGTTAACCAGCTCTCCTGTTGAAATATCTACTTAATATTTCTCTCCTTAATTGCTGCCTTTTACTACAGTGGCAATCTTAACTGTATATCACTTTTTCGCACTGGAGTGACAACCAGAAATGCTTGAGAAAAATAATACTCTATTTTCTTACTTCTCTGAGGGGGGCGAAAAGTCACAGAAAGGGTCTCCCTTTTATACTCCTTGGGTTGCCTTCCTTTTTCATGCTCTACCTCGTATTTACAGGATTTATTTACAGTGTATTTTTCTCAAACTGAATAAAAAATGAAATTTTCACGCTATAGTTCTACTGCGCTCAGCTGCGCTGAACTGCGGCTCTACTGCAGTCAGACTGTGCCTAGAATCCTTATTGTCCTTCCTCGCCTAAGCTATTTTAATGGTTAATTAGAACTTGACTGCGTTGCATTTGTTGCAGTTTCCTATTTCAAATTCCTCATATTTACCATTAAATTTGCTATGACTCGGTGATTCTGAATTCAAACTTCGCATTACTATGCGTACGGCTGCGCTGAGACCTTCAGCTGATTTATTCCATTTTTATTCAGTGACATTTAGTAAAAATGAGACTTGAAATGGTAAATGAGTGAATTATTCAGGTTTAAAACCAAAAGAAAAAGTTGCTAGTAATCAAGAATTACTCAAACGAATGTATTGTAGCTCTCCACTTCATTACAATATTGTTCCCTAAAATTCCTGCCATGGTCCGTCATAGTTTAGTGGTTTTCGTGGATTTCGTTCATCTTCTTTGATTCCCCTTTGTATTATCACATCCTAATCCTCCATATGTGTTGTTCATTGTTATAGTAGGTCGTCCTCGAAGATATCATATTTTTATGTATTTTATTTAGGGCTCTGGACCTCTTGAAGCTGTTTTCCCGCGCATTTTCAGGTTTCTAACTTCATGTCCTAGTATCTCATTCATTTCTGGATGGTTTCTCACGTTCTTGGTATCATAAATTTTCATTTATTCCCACCTTTCCAATGGTACTAAAGTTGTGTTCTATTTCCTGGTATTCATCGAGTTAGCAAAAGTTCGTGTGCACATTCGGTAATCATGTGCATCATTCCTATAGTCGTTCGTATGCAGGCGCTGTTTCTGTTTAATTGTTCGGGATTTATGATATGCGCGGGTGTTTATATCCTTCATATGGGCTTCTGTGATTTATTTCAGATTTTTCCCTCATGATCTAAGGTTGTTTTGCACTTTCCATGCTTTGTTTTGACTGGGCTCTTCCTTATTTGGATGGAAATTGGTCTTTGCGATCTGCCAAAGTGCGGATCTCGGTTCCGATGGCCGGTTCCCTTCGCATTGCCACCCTCACGTGTCATTAAACATGATGCGGATTTCTATATTCCTGTCATGGGTATAACTTCACAACGACTGGACCATTTGGGCTGAAAATTTGCATAACTATATTTCCCTATTTTTCATAATTTCCGTGTAAATTTCGTTGTATGTTGTAATTATGGATCCTTCGTAAACATTGTTTTTTCCCTGAGCTCGGACTTTTGATGTCGCTATTCCCGTTATTGGATATCTTGTTAATGCGTGATCCTTTTATTATGAAAATTTGGGTGGATTAAGATTAGATCCCTTCCTTTCTAATGGGCTATCAAGCTCGTCTCGGTCGTTACTGGTTATTCTTTGCGCTTGCTTTTTAAGCGTTGTCCTCGTTTTGCAGGAGTTTTAGTCATATCTCCATCATTTATGGATAGTTTTCCCTGTGATTACTTTCATTGGGTCCGTTTGGGGGACATCTACGTTTCCTATTATAAACACGACTTTGAATTTTGCATTAGTTCCTGAGGAATCCTTGTTCCATGGTACTTCCATCCTTGGCTATGTGTGCAGATGTGGGAAAGTAGTTTCCATGGAGGTTCTCTGATTGTTTCTATAGTCAAATCTTGGTCGATTGTCCTAATTCTTTCTTTCATATTTGGTATAAATTCCCCTGAGAATTCCGTCTTGTTGATGCTAAGCTTGAAGTATTTTTGCTAATTTTCTTTCTTTCAATTTATTGCATATAGTCATAATAATTCGTAAAAATTCGTAAAAATTCATTAAAATTCAGGTCCTTCTATTTTCTCATATCTACTTGTCGTATGGGGTTTTGTGATTTATCTGGCATATTTCCATCATGGGTTTCCATAGTGTGACCGTTATTTCTCCTACACCGGGCCAGGAGGTCATCATACTGTTCTTCTGTCACCATGGCAGGGGAGGCAGGGGAGGTGGGGGAAATGAGGTTGAAGCCTTCTTCTGCTGTCAGGGACTCGTCCAGGGTCGAGGCAGCCTGTCAGGGGACGGACCCTGGGTCCCCATGGCCCCTCTCTCTATAGCCCACAGCCCTGTATGTAAACAGCCTATCCTAAGGCACAACCTACTGTGGGTAAGAAAGTGAGAAGAAGGTTAACTTCTCACTTTCCCCCAGTGGCCCAATATGGCAAAAACTTCTGGGGATACCCGGGAGTCACATGAGAAGTGGGAACCGGGCCCGGAGCATGCGGCGCGCAGAGCATGTGGGGTGGAGCACGCATGCGGGTCCGGGTCTGGGCTAGTCAGGGTGTGTGCCCTGACACAGCCTGGGTGTAGCGTCCGGGGCTGAGAGCCTGGCAGGGGGTGGATCGGGCCTGCATACTGACAGGCCCGATGCGGGACAATGGTCCCTGGCCACTTAGACTGAAGTGGAAAGTTGTTATTATCATTAAAGGAGGAATACTGTACTACTTACCTGAAGTGGAAAGTTGAGAAGAAGGCTACTTCTTCGGTTCCCACTTCAGGTTCGTTTATATACATGCGGCTTGGGTCACATGACAGGTGCCATGTCACCCTCGCACACAGCTGTAACCACCTGGGTGTCTCCGTGGGAGATCCGAAGGGCATCCACTGCAGGCATGCATGCTGGGCACAGCAGGAAGTCACCTGAGGTGCCTGGGCTGGGTGTGTCATGGGTGCGCTGCAGATGGGTCAATGGTACATTGATACAAAGGAAGGTCGTCCATGTAGAATAAAGAGAGAAAAGAAGAAGTAAAATAGGAAGAGAGTGAGGAAGCGGGAATGAGGGGAGAAGAAGGAAAAGAGGGAGGTGAGGAGGGGTGAACAGTGGGGTACTGGGTCAGGTTGGGCCAGGTGGAGCTGGGTCAGGCGGGTGTGCCCTGACAAGTTGTCTGAACTTGCTGTATCTAACAACAACCAGAAATGCTTGAGAAAAATAATACTCTATTTTCTTACTTCTCTAAGGGG